GCTCTTGAGTTGCCCCCCCACCCCCCCCAGTCCTTTTGCTTCAACTCTCCCCATTCCCCAGTTATCTGCTTTTCTTGGCTCCTGAAGATCTGAGCCTCAGGTCCCAAATTCAAGATGTGAACCAAACACTGCTATTTTTTCATCTTAATAAAACATCAAACACTGATTCTGAATTTACACTGTGGTGGGATTGTTAGGGGAAAATCAACTTCTATCATTTTATAAAAGTTTTCCTTCTCCCACCACAAAGTTGTTAGGTTTCTAAAATCCAGGTCTTTAAGGAAAAGGCAGCTCTCAGTAGCAGAGACTATATTTAGTCTATAAAGCCCTAGGTTCAGTCCTTAGCACTTAATATAAATCAATCAATCAGTCAGTCAGTCAAGTCTTTGGTACTCCCATTTTCTTCTTGGTGATATAGACTAGACTCTGCTACTATGCCTTCCCCACCAGGAGATCTGTGTGAATTTGCTATGAGCCAATGCAAACACTTCTTTCCTTCAAAAGACAAAACAAACATCAATACTTCAGGAGTAGTAGATGGGTGAGCAGGTAAAGATACTTGCCAAGCCTTGAGACCTGAGTTTAATCTTGGAGTTCCACTTGGTGGAGGAAGGGAACAGACTAACAAGTTGATTTTTGACTTCCACACATATGACTTGTGATGACTGTCATTCTCATACTCACCCTCTCCCCCTGCTGGATGGGGGTTCCAATGTAATAAAACTTTTGTTTACAAGTGGCTATTCACATCTCAATAAACAAGTTAATCACAGGGCCAGGGAGTCTGTTGCTTTTATACTATTCTTGTGGCGTGGGGCACATGAAACACACTGGAATACTGCAGCCTATGGTCTCCATCTTCTCAGTTACATCTCTCAGCCTCCTCTCACTAAGATCTTGTTAATCAAGAAATGTCCGTGTATGACACAAAGGGTCCCCACATTCTCCTACAAACCACAGATCTCAGAAACATTTTCGTTGGAACTAATCTCAAGCCCTTGCTTCTCTCATCATTCTAAACCTTCGCCTACATCCTTCAATTGCTTAGATGATGATGATGATGATGATGATGGTGATGGTGGTGTTTGTTTTTCCAGACAGGGTTTCTCTGTATAGCTGTGGCTGTCCTGAAACTCACTCTGTAGACCAGGCTGACCTGGAATCTAGAGATCCACCTGCATCTGGCTCCAAAGTGCTGGGGTTAAAGGGATGTACCATCTCCACCTGGTCTCCCCCTCCTTCTTCTTCCAGAAATCTTAATAGTGACTACACAAATCATGGGTGTACAACAACTTAGTAGTGAAGAATACAAACATTTCTATTAATTATCCTGCTATATACATACAGTATGTAAAATCTGGCAATAAATCTTCACACAAACAAGGTTTATGCTACCTATAATCTCTTGTGTGGACAAAATCATCATTTCAACATTATCTCTAAGGCAACAGTATGAAATATCACTATTTTGCATCCTGACTACAGATTCCTAAGACAGCAAGACTTGTTTTGAGACATGTAAGCAAAAAGCAAAACTCGAGTTGCAAACTCTAATCTATCCACTCCTCTTTATCCAACTCTAGATAGAGCTCACTTATCTATGGGGACTTCAGTAACTGCTGTAGATTAGGCCCAGAGCAGGAACAGTTCCTTGGATGTCTTGAAAACGAAAGCTGAGGTTGCACTGCATAATAATTATTGAAAGTATGCTCTTCTGTCTTATCTGTGAGGGTAAATACTTGACTTTCCCAGTGGTTTCTAAGAAGAGTTAAGTGGTGTAGATCAACGTCAAGATTCCCTCCCTTTAAACCCAGATTATATGTGTCACTTTGTTTATATTTGGTTCCTTTGTATTCCTGCCCTACAGCACACACCTGCTTAATGTTCAAAGGAACTGTCTCCAGAGCTCCATCTGGTAGACCTCCTTATAGCAATCATGGCTGCCTCTTGTTTCAGTGACTGCTGTTCCTTTTGAGGATTTACATTTTTTGTTTCCAACTCCTATTTTGAAAAGGTGAATATGGGAGTGAAGCCTCATCCTTACTACCTTTCCTGCCACAGGAAGTGACATCCTCTGATATACAGCCACTTCAGAGTTACTGTATTCATCAAGCAGTGGTGGTGCATGCCTTTAATCCCAACACTTGAGAGACAGAGGCAGACGGATCTCTGAGTTCAAAGCCAGCCTGGTCTACAGAGTGAGTTCCAGAACATCCAGGGCTACACAGAGAAACCCTGTCTCAAAACAAAACAAAACAAAACAAAAGGTTAGACTCTTCCACAGTCCGTGGCTCTGATAATAATTAGTTTGTAAAGTCAGTTCATTTTATTTGCTACCTTCTGTCCATCATCTACATTTTAACTGCAAGAATGTTCTGTTCTCTACAGTTTAGCATCCTTGTTGCTATAATGTCTTCATACTGACTTCTCTTTGTATTTCCTATTAGTGAGCTATAGCAAGAAGACACCAAGTCACTGTTACAAGCATATGGGCATTCCGTTCTTAGCCATCTAGTTCTTATGTACCTCAACTACAGCGAACTTATTAGTGACCACAATGCAGACTCAGACACAATGGTCACCCTCTTAGATCCCAATTATCTTCATAAGGCCAGGCTGTCCATAGAAAAGTCATATTACACAAGAATAGATTCCTACACTTTGTTTTTACATCCCGTCTTCTAATGTCTATGTGTTACATGCTGCAGGGTAACCACAGTATAATAACAAAAGTGAATCACACATTTTCATACATCAGTCCCTTGAGTATCTTAATGATTGAATACTACTTAAGTTTCTCCTTGCTGTTTAAATTGTGCTAGTTATTTCTGTCCTTGCTGTTCTAGAGCCGTTGAAAAATATTCCGCCTATCACGCATGTGGCTTTATTTATTGTTAAATTACTTGAACACCTCCCAAATTCTATTGGCTCTAGAGTATGAACACTTTAATGATCTTCATACATTTATGAACTATCACTGTCTCAAAAGATTTATCAATTTACCCTGCTTCCCAAAATACAGGGCTGAATCTGACTTGAGCATTTCACAATAGTATTCATAAACATATCGTAATTCCATAATTGGAAAATGCACCTTCACGTGTAAAGCCTCTGCCAGCAATCACTTTTAGAATCTTCACTCTTTGGTCTCAGATTACTTGATAAGGTTGCAAGGTAGATTGAGGCTGCCTGGATTCAAAGTTGCTCTGACCACATGGCAGTTCCACAATCCTCAAGCAGTTAGTCACTATACTCAACACTTCTGCCTGTATGTATATGAACACCTTCCTTACAGGACTTTTCTGAGAGCTAATTTCATGATGCTCCCTGTCTTAGTTATGGCTACTATTGCTGCAAAGAAGCAGCATATTTTTTAATGTATACTTATGTATAACTGTGTTTAAGTGTGAGTGTGCATGTGTCACAGCAGACATGTGGCAGTCAGAAGATAACTTATGGGAGTCAATTCTCTCCTTCTGACTTTCAGGTTCTGGGGATTGGACTCAGGCCAGCAAACTTGGTGGCTAGTGCCTTTGCTGGGCTGTCTTGCCAACCCTAATAATTTTTTTTGAAGGTCTCCATTTGTTTATTCTTTATGTACAAAGACTAGCACGATCTGTTTCGCTGAGTAGACAGTCTTGAATAATCCATTCAAGGTTGCTTAGTCCAACTTAATGAAGCCTATGTCCTTCGCATACTGATGTAAACACTGACGGCACATGTTCAGCCCATATTTTCGGATCAGACCGTGGTGGTTAGAGCAGACTTGCCAAGAGCGAGAGTCCTGGCCAAACTTCTGTGGGTGACTCCAGTAGAGCTGCTGGTGACCCATCTTGCCTTCAGCTGGCCAGAGAGGAAAAAGGCCAACCCTAACAATTTTGAAATACTGTTGTATTAATATTGGCTTATACAGAAAACTCATATTCTTAAATTGGTGTTCTAGGCCATTGGTCAATGCTGGTGATGTTCCCTATTGTTTCTCTTCAGTCTAGCTGTATATGTAGTATTTAGTTTACTATATGGATGGATGGATCTGGTCCCTAAGAATGCATACATAATGTTGCAATAGTCTCAACATGGATGGAAAGCCACTTATTTCTTTCCTTCTACTAAGCTGGCCAGATGTTAATTTTTTTTCTATCGATTATTCATGTCTGTTATCCTTCACACTCCTATTCTCCTGATATACATCATGCTATGGGAAAGGCTTTAGCTCCATCCTCCACTGAGTCATTATCTGCACTCAGTCTTCTATTTGGCTCAGTGACAGACTTCACTTTGATGATTAATTCATTGGGTGAATGTTACTGAAGTTCTTAATGGTGGCAGAGACCGACAAACTTTCGTGGTTCACCCATCTTTGGGAGGATTGAGACACCCCCTGATCCTGGCATATTGCTGTCTTCTTCATTGTCTTTAAATATCTAGGATTTCCTTGTCTACTCATCTTTGTTGTTTGAGATAAATAATTTGGGGTTAGTGGTCCAGTGAAGGTAGCCTAGCTATGTTGACTGTGGAACATCTGGGAACATACTTCCCAATGTGAGGAATCTTGTCTCTGAGTAAAGGTTCTTGATCCCATAGGAGATCAGTAGACTTGTAAGGTATGGTGAATCTTTCTGGCCCAACACTCATATTCAATACTTTGGCCCGAGAACATCTGCTGTTTCTGTCTACAGCACAGCTGGGATGGTGGACAAGTTCAAATTCACATCCACCCTCCCTGAGTTTGCCAAGATGGTCTCTGAGTTTGGGGTACAGTGTGGGGTGTTCCCTGAGCTATCTACACTTGGCCTACGCCATTCTCCTTTGGCCTAACATGCCAGCTTTCACTTAGACCTGAGATGTTCTCAAAAGCACCTGCCAATTCCTGAGGCTCTGATCAGATAATGAAATCTTCATTGCTTTCCTTTGCATTATTATTTGAATATGGGGACAAGGCAGTGATTTGCTCATCCCATAATCTTCTTCCTTGGCTGGAACTTTCTTTTCCCATCTAGAACAAGTCTCATTATGTAGCCCAGGTTGTCCTTGAACTTGTGATCTTGAGCGATGAGATCACAGATGACTGTCACCTCAGTCAGTGTTTAGTACTTTTTAAGCTCTGTTTAGTGGTCGGTCTTTGACCCTTTTAAACCTGTCTGAACTGCTGGTGTAGCTGGAGAGCCCTCAGTGGGATTTGGGAATGATCTTAGTTACTCCTGAAAGTATCAGAAGGAAAGTACAAGAAGTGCTGTGGGGTTCACAGTCCCCCTCCCTAAAGCATCTGAGTCAGATGTAGAAGAATTAGACATGCAGACAGCCGCATAAAGTTGCAAATTAGATACTTCTCTAGCTAAAAATATTGCACCTATGATGGGACATAAGTACCTAAAGTGGTAAGTTAAACAACTTGATTCTTTGCTTTCCTTTTTGATAAGACATATAGAATGCACAATAAGAAAAACTCAGACTTATAAAAAAATCTATAAACTGCTATAAAACATCTGCCACAAAATCAGAGTAAATGATATACAAGGCTCATACACTTCCACTGGTGTGTATGTGAAACCACTCAAAGCCCATCTTCATAGGTAGCACACATGAATACATTAAACATGTGGATTCACTACCAGGGGACTACTTTCACCATCTGGTATCTTGAGAAACTATAGGTAAATCCTTTACACACATTCCCATTTTAATAGGCACTTAGCAGTATTTTTAATTACAAGAAAGTTTAACAATTCAAAGCTATTGATAAAGTACTAGTAATGGTAAAAGTACTAAGGTAGTACTGGGAATTTACCATCCACTCATTGGCTTCTTTCTATAAACACTTTTTTTTTTTGGTTAATGGTGGCAGAGAACAGAGCCAGGGCCTGCCACATGCTAATTTTCACACAGAGGCTAAGTTGCCCACACTGACCTAACCTCAGTATCTTCCTGCTTCAGCCTCCAGAGTCTCTGAGGGGTAGATCTGTATCAACAGATGCTGTGGATGGTTGTCCCCAGGCTAACTGTGGGTCTGAGTGGGGTCTTCTTGTCTTTTCGGAACAGCTGCAGCCAGTCCTGAAGGAGGGATTTTGTGGGCATGGTGGTGTGTGCCTGGAATTACAGCAGTTGGGGTCTGAGGCAGGAGAGCAGCAGCTCTGAAGCCAGCCTGGGCCACAGTGAAATCTGGTCTGCAGACAAAACCAAAACAGTATCCAGGAAATCTTAAGAAACTGGAGACAGAAATGGTCAAGTGTGTACAACAAAGATGAGTCTTGAAGGAGAAGAATGTCTGCAGAATGTCTGCAGAATTTTATCTTTAAATTTTAAATTCACTAGTGACAAGACATAATTTTTAGTGTATTTAAAAAGAAGAATGTCTTTATCCTAAAGGAATGTGGGTTTTTTTAAAACTTAAAAACCAATGCTTTAGACATGTTTGGTGGACCTGAAGCCTCAAGACCCCACATTCTTTGTTTATAAAGTGTTTGAAAACCACAGCTTATTGGGTGGGGTGGCAGACACCTTTAATCCTGACACTCAGGAGACAGAGGCAATTGGATCTTTGTGAGTTCAAGGCTACTGTCTACACAGTGGGTCTCAAAAAACACCACCCCAACCCCTACCTCCCCCCAAAAAATCCATAACTTAAGCCTCATGTCACAAGACTGGAAACCAAACACATGTGCTCTATACTATATATAATATATAGCTTGGTCCCTGTATTGACCTTTTCTTTTTTTGACGTCACTTTACAATTTAAGGGGGAAAAGTATTAGGAATTTAGCTTTTATTCAAAATTAAATAAGCAAAAGCAAAAATTTTAAGAAACTTGTACAAATTACTTACATAAAAGAAAGTTAATAGAGACAGTCACAAATCTGCAACAAATAATTATAAAAGGGCTAGGGCAGCATGGATGTAACCATGTCACAGCACGGTGCTCTAACTGTGGTATGAATAAGGCATAACTAACATTTGCACCAAGACCAGAGTAAAAACAAAACAAACCTTACAAGCTTAGTTCTACGTTAAGCTCCTCCTCCCCCAGATCCTCAACGGATTATACACTACCTAATTCCTTAAATACAAGTTATCATGTCAAACTCTAAATGACAGAGACGGGCAGTTAATGTGAAAAGCCCCCTAGAATGTACAAGCTAACTGGTTGAATCGAGTTCTCCATCTACCTTTATGTACATTTGAATGTAAACCATATTTTCACAGTTTTAAGTGTTTTATGAATGGATGCACAGTACCATGTCAGGTCTGCAGTTGTTCCTGGAGACTGGCTCTAGATTCTGCACCCCTGCCTGCTGGCCACGGGGATGCAAGTATTTACATAAATAAGAAACTGTGTCATAGTCAATGGCCAAGACAGTTCAGCAAGAGCAGGATTTCCAACAACAAAAAAAATGATACTCTGTACCATAGTTTATATACTTGTGCAAAGAGAAGCATCAGGACAAATAAATCCGAGGCAAATTCAATCTGCGAAAACTCCTATGACTACCATTGTAAACTTGGGCAACAGAGGACCCTCAGCAAGTTCACTCTCTATGGCTTTTTTTTTTTTTTTTTTTTTTTTTTTTTTTTTTTAAATTTTAAAACAGAGAAAAGCACACACACTTCCCACACAAACATTCATGCACACGCACACGTGCGTGAGCGCGCGCATGTGCGCGCGCGCGCGCACACACACACACACACACACACACACACACACACACACACACGCACACACACACACACACACACGCTTACGTTCACACAGGCACGCACACACCATACACACGAGTACTTAGTTCAGTTAGAATATGGTACATAGTGCAACTTCATCACAATGTAGAGGTTTAACACACGTTCCATGTGTGTTTTCTGTGCAAGTTCTTAGTGGTCTGGGACCTAGTTGAAGGTATTCATTTGCAGATCCACAAGATTCAGGAGGTTGAAGAAAAACAAAAAAAAAAAGAAAAATGTTTCCTTAATTTCTAAACCAGCACTGGGTGTGCAAAGGCAGCGGACAATCTGGCCTACAACGGGGCCAGATTAGGGTGACTTTAGAATGAGATCCAACCGCTTCTCAGCCTCAGGGCTAAGAGCAAGCTAGGTGAGATCCAAGCAGTTCATTACTTAGACTGGTCTCTAGAAAAGTAAGTCAGGATATGCTGTATCTTTGTCAGCCGTTCCTCCAGGGACTTCATTGACAGCACGGAGAGCTGATACCGAGGGTCTACAGGAAGGACTGCCAGCAGCCACCAACACCATGCAGGGCCATTGGGGGTTGCCTAAAACCAACCAAACAGTTCAGACTGTTAAGAGAATGTAACAGTAGAAACTAATCTACGTGCCAGGTACTACCAAGGCTCTTCATCGTATAAGGCAGGCGATTACTGAACCCACAGACACCGAGGAACTGTGATGAGAACTGTGATGTAATCATCCATAGTCTCTCAGCTCACGCATGCTATGGAGTCAGGATTTTAATCCTGCCCTGATTCCACAGTCTACTGTTTCCCTTGTCAATGCAAGATCAGGCTCTGAGCCTCCGGTTGCTGACATTTGGGGCCTGGGATCCTTCACTGTGTGCCACAGTGTGGCACTTTGCGGTCCATCAGCAGGTGCCCGGGACTGCCACCCACTACACACTAACACACCTTTCCAGCTCTGACAGTCACAACGTCTCTAGACAGCCTCAAATGCCTCATGGGGCCAAACCTGGCTATTTTAAACACTACAGAAAGTTAAATGATACTTTGAAATTTTACTCAAAAATTAGAATCCTAAAAAAGAAGAATAACTTGGCTTCCCATTTTGAAAAAACTGACATGTTTCTGGCAAGGCAGTTCCTGCATATTTCAGGAGCAGCCACCGAGACAACACATCCACACAATAGGATTCGGAAGCCTCCCTTATTGTTCACTGTACTGGGGTTCACAAGGCATGGGACACCAACTTTCAGAAGGACAAAGGAACCACAACAGTGCTTATGGGATGGCTCCATGTACTGTCTGTTCTCAACTCTGCTTCATGTCTACTCCCTACTACATCCCAGAGACTGTTTCCCAGACTCCTGTCCTCCACGTATCTCCAGGTTAAACTCCACCAGGCCAATGGCACTCTTAGCATGTGCAGAAACTGGAAAAGACATCATTATTCTTTGGAAACTCTTGCAGTGTGTGTGTGTGTGTGTGTGTGTGTGTGTGTGTGTGTGTGGGGGTGTTCCAGAGAATTATAGAAAATCACCCACTCCACTGCTGCTGACTGGCAGACAGACATGCACTCCCTAGGGCCCTAAAACTGTGGTACTTTCCTCACAATTTGTGTGAAGTATGGCACTCTGCCGTTCCAGAGGAATCACTGTGAGCTTCTGTGACTTCCGGGGCCGTTGCCACTGACCTTCACTCCTCCCATCTCCAGTGGCTGCATCGTACAATGTTCTCATACCTGGACTACACACAGCACAGTGGCTGCTTTGTCTCCCTGACATTAACGGAAGCCAGTGACAGCGACTGAACTATTGGAGAGAAGTGAGGGCAATGGGAAGTACCGCCAGATCTTTATGAAGATTTTCTTCATAAAGAAAGATTTTCTTCTGGAGATTTTAAATGTACTATTCCATATGTCTTATGAAAGCCTGTTTCTATACTGTTTAACCAGATTCAACACCTAAATGGGGAAAGACATGGTATAACTGGACTGGACAGAACATGGGTCCTGTCCTCAGAGGAAGAGAAGCACTGAGATTTGATGGTCTCAGAGCAACCTTTGAAGACTGGAATGAGAGGTGGGATCTATTACCGATGGATCTTTGTATATTTACATCTGTTTTACTATGAAATTACCATCTTTTTAAAAAAGATTTTATTTATTTATTATGTATACAACATTCTGCTTCCATGTATATCTGCACACCAGAAGAGGGAACCAGATCTCATAATGGATGGTTGTGAGAATTGAACTCAAGAACTACGGAAGAAGAGCCAGTGCTCTTAACCTCTGAGCCATCTCTCCAGCCCCTGAAATTACCATCTTTTAACCCTAAATATTTTTATTCAGTTCAAAATGCTGTGCCTAACACTGGTTTCTCCATGGGTCTGTGATTGGATTCCCCAAGGTAAGGGACTCCTTATGGTTTCTGCAATTGCTGCTGCAGAGCTCCACGCATGGAAGGAATCTAAACCACATTACTGATCAGGTTCAGTTTTAATGTAAACCCCCGGTACTTGAGCAGGACTCCGAGAGTGATAGTTTTATGATAAGGGAAATGTTAAACACAAATAGACCAAAGTGAATTGAAATGTGAATATGACATAAGGGATGAAAGGAGCAGTGAGCAGACTTTTTTAAAAACCATACATCTCTCAATTGTCAAAGTGACAGCTGATGAGCTGGGGGTACAGTGGCCTCAGAGTCACAGTTTAATGGAGGCTAGCATCCCATTTTAAATCTTTCGACCTCTGGAAATCCTCGGACAAGCCCTTCCTCCCTCTGTGGTCCTCCTTTCCTATAGGCATCCTTGTGTATACTACATGGAGTAGATACCAATGTGCTAGGGAATACACTTGTAATTCTAAAGACAGGGTCAAAGAAAATAAAGCAAGGAAACGAGTGAAGTTATTCACTGGAAGTTAATGAAAAAGTGAGATCGTCAGTAGTGACACCAAAGCCTTCTTACCTGGAGGTTTTCCTCCCTTTCAGGCATTGACCCAAAGTGTTGAAGGATTTGGCTTCGAAATCTGTCTCTTAGATTCTGAAACCAGCTGCAGGCTTGCGAGTATACCAAGTCGTGAAGCTCTCTCAGACTCTGTATTTCATCTCCATTCTCAATCTAGAAAGAACAGTTGGTGAGATCTATGTCCAGTTCCCTAGCCCTTAGCATCAACCACACAGAACACAAAAAGCATTGGAGAATGAAGGACTGTCTGCATCAGTGCTGGATTATCAGAGTGACAGCCTCTTGCAGTAACAGCTTACATTTCTGCCTTACAGGGTCCTAATAGGACTCACTGGAAAGAGCACAGCCTGATCTCCACTGAGAGCAGGCAGCAGCCTGACTGACAACCTAGGAAAGGACGGTGGACAATGAGTTCTGCTTCAAAGGTCTACACGAATTTGGAATAAAACAGTTGCTATGATAAAAAGAAAAACGGGTCACCTAGGGTACAGACTGCATGGCAGTAAGCAGTATCAGGAGGGCAACATAAACACATCTTTCACCAGAGAACTGGGTCAAAACATAAAAACACAAACACAGCCAAAACAGTTGCCCCTGAATTGGCAAATCAAAATGTAGAGGACAGAGTATGCAATTTTCAACTTCTGCAATAAAGGCTGTGGGTCCCTGCATTAACCCCTCCATGAACCCTTTAGACCACCTAATGGTGACTGTAAAATGAAAAGCATCTTCCAGTCAGGAGGCTCACAGAATACAGGTGGATGATCAAGGAACTCATGCATTTTAACAGGCGTTACCATGTTCCTGTCCCACTGTCTATGTGCCTGGATATACTCTGTCACAGGTACACTAATTCATTTGAACAAACAGCAGGCAGGTGACTGCAAGATAGTTTCCCAGGTAAAGGGGCTTGCTGCAGAAACTGACAACCTGGCTGGGGACACACATGTTAAAAGACAGAACTGACTTCTAAAAGTTGTCCTCTGAACTGCACATGAGTACCATGGCACACGAGTGCTACTGTCTCCACACAAAGCGAATGAATGAATGAATGAATGAATGAATGAACGATTTTAAAAAGCAGGCTGATTCAGAATTCCATGTTTCAAAGGATGACTAACACAAAACAATGAAGGGACTCAGGAAGATTTTGAAATACAAAAGACACAAGACACAAGAGGCCACTCATGTGATTTCTAAAAACATGAAAATTGAAACTAAGCATTAAAATCAGTTGTGATTTGTGGAACATGATATATCCATGAGCTGTGCTTAAAAATGTTAAGACAGTAAAGAGCTGTGCATTTGAGGAAAAAAAAAAAAAAAGCCAAGAAGCAAACAGAAATTTCAAAGGCAAGCTTTTTTAAAGTTAAGGGCACTGCTACAACAATTAACTAGAGCTTAAAATTTCATTAGATATTACAGAAAATAGAATTACCACCACAATTTTGTTTGTCTGTTTGAGGCAGAGTCCCTCTATGTAATCCCATCTGTCCTGAAACTCACTATGTAGACCAGGCTGGCTTCGAACTCAGAGATCTGCCTGCCTCTGCCTCTTCCCACATGGCATCTTTATAAGAGAGAACAGGCAACATCAGGACAGTCTGATATCGCCAGAGAGGCAGCATGGTGCAAGAAGGCACAGCTCGTGGAGTCAGTCAGCCGTCAATCACTTCTGTTTCACATCACAGGTTCCTGAGCAAGTGAACAGCTCTCACTCTCTCTCCTGCTGTTAACTGTCTCAGAGCTCTGAAAACTCTGTGTGAGGATGCCCAGGCCCAACAGACTGAAATGAAGTGCCAAAGTAGACCAGTGAACAGGGAGACTGTAAGACCTGTATTTTACCTTGCCTTTCAACTTGCTACTGAAAACAGCAACCACTTTCTGGTACTTTAATTCCAGCTGCTAAACTGGGTCCTGAAAACAACAAGAGGCCGCATCACCCCTGTCTAGGAGAGATGCCGACCACCATAACCCTCCTTAGGAAAGCTATCAGCAGTCTGTATACACGGGCAATGTCTGACCTAGGACATACCACCATTTTAAAGCAGCATCCAATTGTATTTATTTATTTCATAGTTAAGATTGTCTCTGACCCAGGAAAATCCCTAACACACAGAGCAACTATTAAAGAATTTTGTGTTTACTTTCACATTAAATTTTAATCTGTGAATGATGTAAGTTTTAAATATTAATGAATCAAAATAAAATAAGGTAAGAGATTCACAAACTTAAAACTTCGATGAGCTGGAAGTTCAATCCAGTCAACTGTTACTGTTAGGTGATTACTGCGAATACAGTATGAAGAAGCGTTAAGTGGGGTCTAGGCACCATACCGCCTGGGATGCCTGGAACATGATGAGGTTGTAGATTCTCAGCCCCATGTTCTCTTGAATGGGCAAACGATTCAAGAGCAAGACAAAGGAAAGGCAACTAGAGTTAATCCTTACTATCAGCAATGACGAGTGCCTAGAAAACCTCACCTATCTGTAGGTACCAGGCCCTATGATGCAGCAGACCAGAACACATCAGAAAAGAACATTTTTAATACCTTAACATCTTCCAGATATTCAATGTCTGCAGTGCAATATCCATCTTTCATTCCTCTTTTTAAAACTCTAAACCGCTTTCCTCCAACCGTGTCAACCACAGACCTTCCATCAGGTAAGAAATGCACATTTCGAATTTGTAACATACAACCATAATCTGCAAAACTAAAAGAAAAACAGTGTTTAAGCATAAGTGTGTAAAGCCTCATTCAAACACAAAGGAAATTCCAGTGTAAACAAAGATATCAAAGTTCACAAGGAATCTACCTGTTCTGTGTATCGCTGACACACATTCCAAACTGCTTGGTTCCAGTCTGTATACTTCTTCGAATCATGAGCCTGTATCTGGGCTCAAATACATGGAGAGGGCAAGGCACAGTGGGATAGGCCATAGTGCAAACAAATATTGGGACATTCTTGGTCAAGCTGAAGGAGAAGAAATTTCATTGTTATAGACCAAATCAGATGGCAAAACCACATCAGGCTTACAACAGCAAAAAAAGAAAAAAAAAAAAACTGATACAACAACAACAACAAAATCTATTTTAAGTATGTGCTCTCAATTCCTAGCTAGAACAGGAAGCAGTTCCCCCTCCTCAAGTTCACATTGCTGCAACCCTGAGACTGAACATCTGATTATGTCCCTCTTATTTATAAGCTTGAATTCTAAAAAAGTAGGTATCAATATAGAGCTATTTTTAAGAATCAAAAGGAAATTTATCATAACTTGAGAGCTTGTTTAAAATACTTAGGATGCAGGAAAGAGTTATAGCTTTTACCCATAAAACATGGAGAAAAAAATGAGCTCCTAAAATGAACAAAAATTCTTAAGCATGATATTTTTCAAGTTATCAATGGAGATAATTCAACAAAATCATATTTTTGCCAGGTAACTAAAATGACAGTTGCCTTTCTTCTGGCAGATTGTGAACAGTAAGGCATGCTGCCCAGGTGCTGCAGAGACGGAAATGCACATCCAAGCATTGGGCTCCACAGCAGAAATCCCACAGGTTTTGGGGTAGAAAGTGTTCCTGTTTCTTTGGATTAAGAATTTTCCTTTTAGAAACAACCCTACAGATGCAGAAATGCATTTCACAGCAGCACTGTGGGGAGTAGCTGGAAGCTGGCAGTTAGAAGAAGAGACTGTAAAGCATGGGGCAAGTGTGGGGTGGCCAACGATGGAGTGCCATGCTGCCCACTAGGAGGCCCAGGGCTGTACTGACTCACAGGGTGACCCGCACTGTCAAGAAGAGGATGATGGGGAACAATGCAACCAGCATGTTCTATGTCTGCTGAAGTATACTTCGATAAGGTCGTGGAGCACACACTCTGAGGCTGTAGCTTTGCTTCTGATCCCTTTACATGTTGCTGCTACATGACTACTAATGACCTAAGGACATGTGATGCTTAATACAAAGGCCAAGTTAAAAAAAACAAAAACAAAAAAAGCAGTACAGTCCTGCTAGCAAGCACAGATGCCCCTAGCGTCCGGGCATCACTCTCAGCTCTTCACTAGCTGCTTCTGCAACTTCCTCACTTTCTCACAAGACTGCGCTAGCTTCACCACTATGCTTCACATCTGCAGTGTTACCACATTTCTCTAATCTAGGTTTCTGTTGAGTTTCAAAGAGAGGCAGAGTCTTCATCCCAGTATCTTCCATCATAAAACAGCAGTTTCTTGTAGGCGTCTTGCTGGTGAACCTGTAGCAGTTGCCACACCCCCTACGGGCGTGGCTTCTGGCGGAAGAAGGGAAGCTAAGGCTTTTTCGATTGGGTCAGCTGATTCCAGAGGAAGGGCAGAGAAGCACTCCATGGTTCTTCATTAATATCTGTGTAAGTGTTCCCCAATAAACACCCATTTGTCATTTATCTTGTGTAATAAAGAAATTAATAATACCCTAACTAAGCAAAAAAACCTCTGATCCTAGACTATGAGACAGGAGGCCTCAAGCAGTTCCAAAAAGAAAGAAAAATGTCAGCACATCACCAACTGTGTAGACACCGGCCCCTGGCCCAGTGTCCCTAAAAAACTAGGAACTGGATGGCCTCTAGATCTGCTAGTCATAAATCCCCCAGACCACAGGACGTGTTAATCAGCCCCTACCTAAAACAAATGACAGTTATAGCTTCTTTGCTCAATACCTATTATCTTGTGATAACCTTGTATCACTTTGCATAACTTGTATAACCTTATATAACTTTGTAACTTTGCATGAAACTTTGAGACATTAGATCATGAGTCTCAGGCCCCCCTTCCCCTTTTTTTGACTTCCCCTTTTGCTTTTTAAAAATACCTTATATTTGTGGTTCGGGGAACAACACTTGGATCTAGTGAAATCTTTACACCCTCGCCTTCAGTTTCTTGGGAGGACAAATCACTATGGGCTGTAAAGGAGAGCTTAGGAACTTTTGTGCTGAAGGCCACTGGCCTGGGAAGACTTTCCATGAGTGCGCCTGGGAAAATACAAGTACCCAAGCACAATTCCTTCTGTTCTAAGAGTGAGAAATCCAGCATGCTCCACTTGTGTTTTGAAAATTAAACAAACAGTTGCTAAATAATAACAGCATACAAAATTAACAATGTACTTCAATGTGTTTAGTTGAGAGAAGTGAAGCAAACAGTTAAAAAAAATTAAAAACCCATTGAAGAAATTCAGAGAGATACAAGTGACTGATTAAAATGACAAAAATATTCAGGGAAAGGGGGAGAAGAGAACAAGAAAGAAAGATGTACATTGCAGGCAGAGGTAGGCAGTGGTTCTACATCTGTGAGCACCCCAAAGTCGCCTGGGGATGTTTCTTCGTCTTTCTACTAACCTGGATGTTCTCCCTACTGGTATCTTTACAGAGGATTTGACCCCTAAGTCGTTCCTTCGTATTTCATTCCTACCCCATTCAAAGTCTCTAGCCCAGTGGTTCTCAACCTGTGGGTTATGATCCCTTTGAGGGTTGAATGACCCTTTACAGGGGCTGCCTAAGACCATCAGAAAACACAGATTATGATTCATAACAGTAGCAAAATTACAGTTCTGAAGTAACAACAAAAGCAATTGTTAGTTGGGGGTCACCACAACATAAGGAACTGTATTACAGGGCTGCAGCATTAAGAAGGTTGACAACTACTGCTCTAGCTTGTTAAAATCCTTGCTAATGTGGGTTGATGATCCTCCTGTTCCAGGATGTGGGAAGCCAGCGTTTCCATCTATCGTGTCTAGTTCATCTCTACCCCATTCCACTGCCTGGTGTCAGAGCAGGAAATCCCTCCATAACCTCTAACAATGCTTCAGCCCAAAGAGCTGCATCAGTGACACCCCACAGAACTCCTAGATGCTCCTGGTGGCACTTCCATGATCCCATCGACTCAGGACAGGACCTGATCAACAGTTGGTTAAATATGCCTTTGTGCTAGACTGACTGGCTGGATCCAGCTCGCTCAGGGAGGGTTCTCTTGCTGTTTTCATAACCTCAGGCAATTTAATAAGAGACTTACTGTGAAAGCTCGGCAGTTTCTTCATCATAGATTTTTTTCCTCTCAGACAGCTCATCCGGTAGATACTTCACTATTAATTCTTCCAACAGCTGGGTGACACAGTACCTCCTGTCTGCCAGATACTAAAAGATAGAATTTCACATTCTAGTAGCTGCTTTCCTACAGTATAAAACAGGTGAAACAGTTTAACTGAGAGATCAAAGCCTTTGTTGTAGACAGACACTCTGATTCTGACTGCATTTAATTAGTGAGGGGAACCCTGCAGTTCCTGTAGCTACACAATAAACCTGCCTGGGCCTCTGCTCCAGTGTCACAGACTGGAGACACAGCTGGAACCAAGCCCCCATGTAGAAACTGTCTTGCCATGAGCACAACTCTTTTATTGGCAACAAGCAGCCTGGCATCTCCCACAACACAAGCCAATTTCTAAGAAGCAAAAGGAAGATGTGGACAAAGAAAGTAATGCACTTGTCTTATTTCGGAAACACAGAACAATTCCTGTTTGTCTACTTTCAAAGATGGAATCTCTGCGTGGCTTTTGTTGTTGGGAGTGCTGTTTCTGTTTCTGTTTCTGTGAGATAAGGTTTCATTGTGTGGTTCAGGCTGGCCTGGAACTGGAGGTTCTCCTGCTTCAGCTCCCCAGGTACTGGGATTAGAGGCATACACTACCACTCAACCCTTTTACTTTTTCTCTTAGATTTTCCTTCCAATGCTACTATCACTCTGTCTGCATCAGGATGCTGCTTTTTCTATGATCATCTCCACCTCTATATAAATGGTACATTTGTGCTCCTCCAAAATGCTCTGAAAAGCTGCTACCCACATTGCAGTTATACTGATAAAAAAACATCCACCTCACTCTTGTCTGTGACAGCTCTCTCGGGTCAGGATCTGTCTTCCTTAACTACTCTTTACCTTACACTCCGTATTTTACTGTTTTTTTTTTTTCCCCACAGTAAAGGGGTATATCCACCCCTACACTGTACCATATGGACATGGATACATAAATCTCTGTAATTAAACTAAAAGTTGCTTAAGACTAGGGAAAAGCTCAGAGTATGTAGACAAAAAATACACATGTATTAAATACAAGCAGTCAGAAAGAACTCAGAAGAAGAATCACAGAAGAGAGGCCATCCTTTAATCTGCAGAGCCAACAAAAACAGCAGTTCTGCCAAGTGCCAATGAAGAACACGACAGGAATCCTAAGAGTTTGGGAAGGTAGGTAGCTATGGAAGCAGTTTTCAGCATTGACAGGAAACACATGCTAGACACCGCCCCCCCCCCCCAACAGGATTCTGACTTAGAGGGTGTCGTGTAGAGTCTGTGGATCAGTTCTAACAAGTTCTCAGATGACATGGGTGCTGCCAATCAGTGGATACACTGGAAGAGGTACTGGATTTACAATGGGGAGAAGGACCTGAGCAGTACTGCATTAGACTGTATGTGTAGACAATGGGAGTTTATCACAAGACTTCGTAAGAGCAGTCTTCTTACTATGTTCTATAAAATTTCATAGAGATTTTTGAAAAAAAAATGGATGTTTACATAGTTACAGCTGATGAACTCATGTCCCACAACCCTGAGAGGAGTCTAAATCTGCGTAGCAGCTGCAGGGGACTAGGCAATTCAACAAGTGGTTTTTAGGAGTATTATAAAAATACAGCCACTGATTCAGTAGTTTGCCTCCTAGGAACTTAGCTAAGGATACTGTTAAACAGCTAAAATCATTAATTTACTAAGGGACAGACCAACTGTAGCTCTGTAACAGGGAAGTACAACCTTCTTATATTCAGCTGCTGCAAAGCTCACGTCTTTAAACCATACTCAATGGGGAACTGAATATGGCAAAATGCAAGCAGGAAATATTCAAAACTGTAGAGCATACCAGTATTATTTTCAAATTATACACTGTTCATATTTACACTTTACAAATGGTACAATATAAGGTATCTTATGGATCAGATAAAGACCAAAGTTAGAAACAGGATAGATATTTTTAAATACCTAGTTATACATTCAAATGGTATGTTCAAGGTTTCTTTCAAATTACTAATATTTTTAAAGACAAAATATTTCTAAATAAAAAATGAATTGAAGCCAGGCATTTGGTGTCCCAGCACTTGGGAGGCAGAGGCAGAGGCAGGCGGATCTCTGAGTTGGAGGCCAACCTGGTCTACAGAGTAAGTTCCAGGACAGCCTCCAAAGCTACACAGAGAAACTCTGTCTCAAAAAAAAAAAAAAAAGAAAAAAAAAAAAAAGAAATGTATTGAATTAACTTGAAAACAGGTGCAATTACAGCACAGATTATCTAAACTATGAGAAAAATAGCATGTTTAACATAGTTTATCCAAAAAAACCAAGAAGCTGTTAGACCTGGTAAACCCTTCAAGAGAGACTTTATCTTAGATTTCTCGACTTTGCAAACACTATGTGTGTGTGTGCGTGCGCGCTGTGTGTATACACATATGTGTGCTTTCAACATACTAGTTTGCTATATAAGACACATATCAGATGTAGCAAACACACACCACTGTGTTTTCCACACAGGTATTCTTTATATAGAAAATAACTGAAAATAACTACACTCAAAAAGCCTTTATTCTTTTTTTTTTTTTAATTCACTGGTGGAGGACATTTTTCTCTGTACAAGAAACAGGGAGGCATGTTCCATGGGTGCTCCCACTGCAGTTGCTACATAGTACCATGAAGCTTAGCTGATCCTGAAAGACAGGGGTCCAGGAGGCAGCACTGCCCCCACCTGTCCCATCACAGTGTGCTAATGCTGATCTGACTCTGAGAAAATGGATGCTTCTTGCTTTCTTCTATCCTACCACTTCTTAGAGCTACTCTGTTCAGTGTAATAAGCATTGCTCACAGTGCTTCAAGCCACTCTAGCCACCATTCAAGTGCTTCAGTAGTGACATGTGATTGGCGGCCACCAAACAGCATAGGAAAGCTGGACCACTTCCACCTTTTGCAGGTTGGACGGGGCAGTTGCTCCGGGTGACACCGGTTCTGGAACAGGGTGAGATGCAGGACAGCAGAGTTTCCCTAAGAGTGTCATCATTAAAATTGAACATTCCTCTGACCAGGCAGTGGAAAGGGCTCGGTCTTTAGGACCTGTCTCTTACCAAGTCTCAACCTCTCTTTTCCTCAACAACATGGTGTCTCACTTAGGGTTTCTATTGCTGCAATAAAACACCATGACCAAAAAGCAAGTAGGGGGGTAAAGGGTTTATTTGACTTACACTTCCATATTCTCGTTCATATTGAAGAAGTCGGGACAGGAATTCAAACAGGGCAGGATCCTGGAGGCAGGAGCTGATGCAGAGGCCATGGAGGGATGCTGCTGACTGGCTTGCTTCAAAGGCTTGCTCAGCCTGCTTTCTTATAGAACCCAGGACCACTAGCCCAGGGATGGCACCACCCACAGTGGGATGGGCTCTCCCCAACTGATCACTAATTAAGAAGATACCTTACATCTGGATTTCATAGAGGCATTTCCTCAGCTGAGGCTCCTTCCTCTGATGACTCTAGCTTGTGTCAAGTTGACACACAAAACCAGCCAGTACAATTCATAATAAGCAATGTGCTTAGTCAGTCAGAATGTATAATGCTCTCACTTTGAAATGAAATCACTCTTTCTGTGGGTGAACAGAAACCAAACCATCTTGCCAAACTTAAGGCTAATAAACAGATACAAATGCACATTTACCTCTTTTAAGCTCTCTTTGCAGAGCGGACAATATGGCGTGTGGTCTAAACATCGCTCAAGACAATTCTTACAGAATGAATGTCCACAAGGGGTTGTTACTGGCTCAAAAAACAACCTGAAATCAAACAGAGTACTTGTTAGCTTTCACATCAGGAGCCTTTGCATCGGAAAGGCATCTGTTAATAATGGACCACAACAAATCTCTACTTAGAGGAGGGAGGAGGCCAACCTAGGGGGCAGGACAGGGGGAAGAGGACAATGCTAAGTGTCCTGTGCCCTCCTGGTCCTTCTGAAAGATCATTATCAACTGAAGCTTGCTTCCAGGGGCCTAGAACCCGGTGACTACTGCATTAGCCACTAGATGGACACCTGTAGCTACCAAACACTTAATTAAGGTTGGCCCATCCAAAATGAGCCTCGAAAGCTAACTCGCAGTAAATGCAGACAAAGACAGTTAAAAGTTAATAAAGTATTTCATTGGTGACCATTAGATTTGTATACAGTCTCATCAAGTTAAAAATGGTCCTTTGTGGTTTTATAAAAGCTTTGCTACATGAAATACACCAAAAGAACATTATAAGCAAAGTATAATGACACAAGTATGAAGATGTCATGATGAAATTCCTTTGTGTAATAACTTAATTTAGAGAAAGAATGATCTAGCTTGGCATGGTGGAACAGGTATTTCAAGCCATTTTTTTAAAAAGATTTATTTATTTATTATGTATACAGTGTTCTCCCTGCTGGCCTGTATACCTGAAGGCCAGAAGAGTTCACTAGATCTCATTACAGATGGCTGTGAGCCACCACGTGGTTGCTGAGAATTGAACTTAGGACCTCTGGAAGAGTAGCCATCACTCTTAACCTCTGAGTCATCGCTTCTGTGTATACTTTGGAATTATCTGGTGTAATCCCTGGATAAGGAAACAGGTTTAGAATGAAGAGACCTACCGGCAGAGGTACTCTGCACTACAGGTACTCATGATCAGCCTAGAACGCCCGGCCAGCCATGGGCCTTGGGCTGTGAACCCTCAATTCTACCATAATTCACAAAAATGAGAAAAGTCCTTTCAAACCATCTAACAGCCAGGATCATAAATTTTTGCTCGATGGAAATCCTTATCCTATGTTATTCTAAGAGGACTTAGTGGTTACAATGAGCAGGACAGAATGACATACATAAAATACATAATTTAGATACTTACTCAAATCTGTCTCAGAGAACATTACAACTTCCCACAGTCTTTTCCTAGTTGAACAACCAGATCCTCCCTACACTGAGGTACAAGCTGTTCAAACACTGGCCTCGCTTCCTACACTTGGAAATCTGAGATTCAGAGGTCTAATTATTTCCTCAAAGTTGTAGAAATCTAAACCCAGGACTAAAATTCCATCTTCTGATCCTTAACCAATGGCATTACTTTATCTTACCTAACATTACCTTTATCTATACTGCATTTACATCAATAGAGTCATCTTCATAAAATGTGATACACTTACCTCATACAGAGAGAACATTCAAAATCGGAGACATCTATTAATTCTTCTGGGATGTCACCATAAGCTAATGAAAACACACAGTCTTCATTGGGAGATTCTATTCAAATAAACACACAGGGTTTTACTCTTTAGGGGGAAAGGTTCAAAGGCTGATCTGAATCAATACTGTGGTGGGGTAAGGGAAGAACAGAAGCCTCACCACCGTGCTTTTTCAGCTTATTCCTCCCGTCTTCATTAATAATTGTGTCCTGTTCTAAGAGAGACAGCTTTCTTTTCAGCAGAACACCTTTTCCCTGAGCGGACAGCAGAGGCTCTGAGGACACCCGCTTTAAGCCGTCTTCTTTGGCAGGCACTGCCACTGCTGCATTGATGGCTTGTGCTGACTGAGCACGGTTTAAGCTTCCTTTGACAGGCTCTGGGTCGTCCTCTGGTCGTTCTTGAGGCTACAGAACACAATAAACAAAGGTAACTTTCTTCACTATCCTTTAGTCTTCTTGCCCAGAAGAAAAATGGGAGATTTATAATGTGCATTTGAAAAATTATTTAACAGAACTTTATTAATTCTAAAATTGGGCAAGTAAATGACTTTTGTTGGTATTCACACAGCCTTAGACATCAAGTTTACTGATGTCACAGTGATGTTAATGTAGATGCTCCTAGAGGGAGAATAAAATATTTACAACCTCAGATGTTCTAAGACACTGTAAGTTTTCTGACAGCTAAGTGACCTAAAATGGTGGTCAATGAGAAAATATTCTACAGATAGAGCTTTAGTATGAATCAAGAACTGCAGACAAGATCCGGTTACTACAATTAGATAGGCAATATGCACTTAAGCAGCTCTTAATGCTTGACCATGAGATAGTAGGGTCTTAGCTGTGAGGTCAGGATTACAGGGCAAATGGTTATCTTTTCCACCCCTTACCTGCTTCCGCATCAGCTCACCAGGAGAGTGAGGCTCTTCCACTACTGAAGGACATCCAAAAGATTTGTTTTTAATACACGGTAATGAACTCCAGGAAGACTCCTTCAGACCTTCCTTTAAGTTTTCAGGCGACAATAAGTCACACAAAATCTGTAAGAAATATTATAAACATGTAACAGAAGATATGTACTATCTGGTGAAAAACAACAATATAAACTTATCTATTCAAATTCTGTGAGGTATTTGTAGGAGACATTATTTTTAATGACCAGGAAAAAAATCAATATATTTTAAAGTTTTCCAACTAAGATATGTCTCAGCAGGGACCATATCATGTCAAGAAAAAAAAAGGGGGGGGGGTCAACCCTTTAAAAGAAAGGAAGGCATAAAGTGGCCTGAGAAGGTACTCAAGGGGAAGGCTAGCTTTTTAAAACGTAAGGATTATAAAGGAAAGGGATTTTAAGAGAAGCAGAAACTACTTATCTATTAGTGGGTCCTACTCTGTCAATACAGATCAAGGGGTCCACTACAGTGTATTTTCAGGATGGAGCTGGAGTGTTGTGGTGTGTATGAACTGAAGAACCTGAACTCAAGCACAAAATTCTAAAGGTCTCATGTTTACACTGATCGTAGCCAGTCACTGACTAACTACCCATATGGCATCCTGCATTGTTAGCACTTGCTTGGGAGCAAAGAACTGCTCCTTGACAACTGTGGTTTCAAATGCAGCTGGCTGCACCATCAAACCTTCTGGATGTTCAAATGAGCAATAAATCTCACTCACTTGACCAACAGGTTTATTAAGATAGAGGGAATGCCTGATTGAAAGAAAAAGGCATTTTATAAAATGCTATATTTCTATGTGTGTCAAGGTATTTCCTAAACTCTACATGAGGGTTAGGTTTCTTGAGTGTGCCATCGCTCAAACACACAGAATTTGGTTATTCACAAACCAGTGTAAGGAAATATATGTAGTGTGACTGGAGTATGTCTTCTGTAGGTGCTCAAGCAATAATAGAAAGCCACTTAATAGAAAGCCATCTGGGGCCTGGGATGTAGCTCAGTGGTAAAGAGCTCTCACACAGTACATACAAGTCTCAAGTGTGAGCCTGGATACTGCAAAAACTAAAACATCAAAAAACAAAAAACAAAAACCTATACACATACATGTTCATATTTCCTCTAATTAAAAAAAAAAAAAAGAAAATGTACTAAACATGTACCTACTCTAGAACTCAGCAACTCCTCTCCTAGGTATGAGCCATGAAATGCTTTGAAACGACAGTGTAACAAACATCACCACCACCTCCAAAAGAACACCACGGAAACAAAGTAAATGAAGATCACTACAAACTGAAAACAACAAACTGTGGTGTGTTTATGTAACAGGACGCCTGGTCAAAAACAAAAACGTCCCACAAATAGTATGTAAGCAAATGGAAACCCAAAGTATATACACATTGCATGTTTCCATTTGTATAAAATTCTAGACTAGGTAGAGTTTTCATGTGGGGACAGAAATCTGAATGGCAGCTATCTTGGGCCCACTGGAGAACTGACTGGAAAGGAGATGAAGGAGATGTAGATGTAGATGTAGATGTAGAAAATCCTTATCAGAGAGGAGGATGCTCACCAGCAGGGAAGATGCAAAGCTCCAATCTCCTTCCAATCTCCTGGTCTGCAGTCTCACCAGGAGGTAACGTACCTGACACTGAGGCAGGCGATCCTTACAAAAGGCCACACTCTTAACACCACAAAGGACAAGTGATATGGCACACTTTGTGAACACTGAGGTCACATGCCTAGGGCTCTAAATCAGGATTTTCCTCAAAGAATTTTCAAAGACCCTCTCTTTTCAGATGCTGTGTCAGTTTGACTAGAGCTAAATGTCAGTTTTTGTCTGTTTCCATGATGGCACCCGTTTAACTTGGTTTGAGCCGATCTTTCCTCTGAAGTCATTTGATCATGGAACTCTCACCTCTTGCTCCCCACACATTCCTTCCCTTGCTGTCTCCTAAAATAACACTTCTATCAACCATTACAGGGCACTCTATGGACACAGACGTGTGGAATGCCGAGACAAACAAGACCAAACAAGTTGAATGGGCCAGCACTACTGTCAACCGTGGAAGGACAAGGCCTGAGTGAAGGCACAGGCAGGTCCAGAGCCTCTTGAGTGGGGCATAAAAAGCAGCTTTCCTCAGAGACTGTCAGCTTGGTTCTCACTGAACAAAGTACAGCCTTTCCCAAAGTGCTCGGCCCAGAACCGTTTCCATTAATTAATTTCTTTTTTTAAATTTTGGAGTATTTATAGAGAGGTACCTTGGGGATGGTACACAAATCTAAACACAAAATTTGTCTGTCTGTATCTTATACCCATAAACTGAAGGACATTTTATTATCATGTTTTCAGTGCTGTTACATTTAGTGTTTTGACTATGACCAACCAGTCATATGAGGTCAAGTATGAACTTTTTCACATATGGCATGGCATCCCATCCCCAAAGTTTCAGATTTTTGATTTTCAAATTAGGGATGTTCAACCTAAATTTGGAAGCATCTGTATTAATTAAGTAAAACTACTACATTGAAATATCTGTGAATGAAATTCCTTGGCTTCGTCAAGAGTGGAGATAAGAACATGCTTGTCAAATGGCTCCTCACATAAAAAAATCCCTTCTTACATTCCTCGTCTCACCTTTTTTTTTTTTTTTAAAGAGCTTGGTTTGGGCAATGATGATGTCAGCCTTGGCTTAGACAGTGGAGGAGTGGTAAATGCATTACCTTTTCTACTTGCAGTTTTGCAGGTGCAAAGTCTTCATCCAGGGCTAAACACTGGAGGAAGAGCTGTAAGGCATCGCCCAGGAACCCGGCGTCCTGGAGGACTTTCCCTTTCCTGAAGTAGACCTTCAACAAAGCACACATACCAAGCTTTATGCACAGAACTCTTGGCCAAAACCATCCAGGAAACAAATAAAGGGTTCTCAGATATGCTGATTCTGCAACAAAGGAGTCTGAGAAGGACAAAGTGTGTGAAAGCCTATCTGCTACTCCAAAGAATGCTACTGGGGAAACTGAGGCCCTTAAAATAACAGGACCAAAGTTCTTAGCAGTTAGTGTTCTCAAGACCAGGGACATATCTTCACTTGAGAAATTACTGATGTACAGACTTATTTGTCGTGTGTGTGTGTGTGTGTGTGTGTGTGTGTGTGTGTGTGTATGTGTGTGTTTGTGTAAGCCAGAGGAGGGTGTCTGAATCCCCAGGAATGAGAGTTAACAGGTGGTGTGAACTACCTTCCATGGGTGCTGGAAACTGAATTCAGCTCCTCTGGAAAAGTAACAAGTGATCTTAAATGCTATAAACCCCAAATCACCAATTTAACGATTACTCATATAAGAACAGTTGTTTACTGGATACAGAAAATAACATGTAGAATTTATTGACTTTGAAGATGTATAAAAAGCATGTGTTAATAAGGATGTAAAAGGCTCTTCTTTAAACCAGGGTGAAAATTATTAATATTTAAACTATGAGTGACTTCTTTTAATACATTGAATAGATCATTACCAGTTACAAATAATTTCAGTAAAATTTAAATAATTACCTTTTAACTACTAGTGACAGTCTGGGTAAAATTTAAGTCATTATCTTGTAGTTGTTAACAAACAGAAATTGCTATTAAACTTTCAAATATGTCTAGTGAACAACCTGTGCATGTAAGTAATGCAACACTCATGCTATATATTCAAGCTAAAATACGACATTCACACAATCTACACAATGTGAGAGGATCTAAGGGATCAATTAACTGGATTCTGTTCTACAAATTTCCCAAGGTTATAAATACTACCCTCAGTTCCAATTCCCTCCCTCTTCCTCCCTCCTCCCCCTCAGCATTATACAGATATATTAAAATCTATCTATCTATCTATCTATCTATCTATCTATCTATCTATCTATCTATACACACACACACACACACACACACACTTAAATGGTCTTTGGAAGGAAAAATTATTCTTTGAGGACATTTTATAATTAAAACAATTAAAGAAACATGTATCTATTCAAAAGTTTTTATAAAGTTAAACATGTTAAACATTAAAACAATACTTTTATTTTAAAAGTAAAAAAAAATTTCAGGGCAACAGGTCCCTGTCTCCCAAGAAATTAAGTAGTGTACCTTTCTCTTAAATAAATACTTATAGATACAACCTTATCAAAATCCTTGACCTGTCTTCTTTTTCTCCATGTTATGAGTTTGTCCCATCAAAAAGTGAATCCGAGAAGTCACCACTAATTCAGCAAAGATGCAGCGTGTGGGTCACTTCCACAGCAGGCAGCTTGGAAACATCTCATGTGCTCAGAAGTGGTCTTACGAGCCACAGGATCACAAGCACTAAACAGACTTAAAGGAGGCTAAAGACTATCGGAATCAGCCTTCAGATGCCACCGTGTGAGCCCCAGGGCTCTGCCTGTGTCTGCATCCCTGGAACTTGGATTATAAACCTTTACCAAGACACCTGGTATTTTACACGGGTTCTCAGGTTGAACTTGGGCCTTTAAGCCTGTTTGGTAAACACTTCAATGACTTAGCTCCAAACTATATATTTCATCTGAGGCCAATCACACATTCTGTTACGACCTGTAGCTATAACTGAAGTTCTCATGGCTGCCACTGTAAAATTCATGCAAATGTGAACAGTCACTTTACCTCGGGCCAGTTTGGAAGCTGAAAGAGAACTGCATTTAGATCCTCTATGGCTGCTTTAAACTCCTGGAGGCCAGCATAGGACTCTGCTCTGTAGATTTTGAGAGTCAGGTCACTTGGCTCTGAAATAAACAATTCATAAGGATATGATTATTTTAGAAAGATTACTATGATAATCCGAAAAACACTGTCATACTAGCTTAAGAAAAATCTTGTTATTTCAAAGTCAATAACTGCCAAATTAAAGTTTATAAACCAAGTATAGCATTGGCGCAACACACTTTTTAGGTCAAAAGTTGAACAGAAGTTTTATCATGAGATCATTTTAGTGGCAAGAATGATAATTAAGGATACTGGAAATGTTTCTGTGATAAAAAATTACTTGTGAGAAAACATTTTTTTTTTTCAAAAAAAGTACTCAACAAAGATTTTCAAGCCATGTCTTACATGTTTAGAAAATTTGCCACATTGAAACTTTATCAGTTAAAATAGAATTGTATTACTCACCCTTGAGACTTCAATTTATAAATCACTGTTTATAAAAACAAACAAACAAAACTAAAACACTTCAGATGAAAAGTTCCACAGTGACACGGAAGTGGCCGAGGCTCAGTCTTATGAGGGAGTAAGTGTCCTGACTCTAAAGGGAATAGACTGATCAGAATTAGTTCGAGATCAAATCTTTCATTCCCAGCCATACCCGGACTTGTACCTACACACAGACATCTCATTTCAAATGCTCCTGGAAATCACTATTACCTTTACTGTCCTCTGTGTGTGTGCTTGAGAAACTGAACTATTATCTGATGCCTTTAGAAGTCAGCCACTTAGCTGTCCTCTATTACTGTAATTAATTACTATAGGTAGACAGACTGTCACCTAAAGTCTAAGCAAAAATTTAATAAATTATTGATGAGGTTCAGTTGAGTCTTCTTTTAAAGCTATTCATTTTGAGCCTTCACAGCCTTATGCTTATAAAAGAAACCATTTGTTCTAAAAAGGACACAATGACTCTTAATGCCTCCAAAAAATACATTCAATGAGACCCAATAGCTCCCAGTTTACTCTTAATTTTTCAGTAGTATTCTCTGCAGGCAGCCCCACTTTAACAACTCCATCAGGCACTTTTAAGTTTCTACAGCATGCTTGAGAACTGGAATGATATTGTCTCCTCAATTTTACATCAATGGAAAATCTTGAATTAATATTTCATGAGAAATATCTTACTTCCTAAGGTTCCTGCGTGGTAGCTGCACACAGGGGCTCACAATGACAGTGACAGCTTGGGAAAGCCCAAGGTACATCCTCAAGTCAGAGCAGACAGCATGGAGAGGGGGCACGGCCATGAAGTCCCACCCCTACTGGAGGAGCCTGGCAACTGCTAGCTGCTGGGAGATGAGAATCCATTTCTTTAAGACTGCAGCCAATGGGTAGATCAACAGTGCTCCAATGGAAGATCACACATCCATAAATCCACGGGCCACACAAATTACATTTGGTGGGTGGGGAAAAAGGAGGACACAAAACTTGGAGGATCAGTGGATCTGGGAGAAGTTGAGAGAAAGAGTGAACATAACCCAAACTTGTTGCATGAAATTCTCAGACCCGATAAAAGAGACATGACAAAATTCCATGTCTCTTCTTAAAGCGATAACTTAAAACTAATCTCTGAAAAAAACTGTACAGAAAATTTAAGAGCCCGGTGATTAATAGGAGACTTAATCAAGAATTAAGCTGTAGTCTGTGAGCCCTTAAGCGCCCATACATCCACCTGCCTCTGAGCATCTTACACTCTAATGCGGAAGCAGCATCAGCAGCACTGACTGGGGAACGGAGTGTGTGTGCCAACGCTGTCCAAAAGTGAGCCTCTGGGAAGTGTGATTTTGCATCACAGCTCAGGGGCTTCCTGACGCCTGGGTGAGGCAGAGTCCTAATTGAGAGGGAGTTCACAGTGGAAGCGCACCCCACTCTGTCTTTGGACCCCTTGGTGGCTTCTTCTTCTTTCATAAGTTTACAGCAAGTTCTCACCATGCTTGACACACGGTGCACACTGGGATCTTCCTATCCACCTGTTAGGGTTGGAATATGAAATGTCCCCCTCCTGCTCCTGTGAGCTCTTGGTCTCCAGCTGCTGGCTGTCTGGGGAGTTGGGGGAAGTTTTGCAGATGGGGTCCAGATGGTAGATACTACTGGAACACGGGTGAGGGAGCACAGAGGGTTATAACCTCGCTGGTTTCCAGCCTGACATGCTTGCTGGTTGGTGTCAGGTACAGTGCAGAAGGCTCTAGTTGGCCACCATCATGAAGCCACCCTTGCCATGCTTTCCTGGTCACTATGCATAAATATACGCATTATAAAACAAGAAAAGAAACTGTCCTCACTCTGACAAAAGCAGAGAAGGGGCCATATATTCTCCGCAAGCACTCAGCTACATAGCACCCCTAAAGCCCGCTCTAAAAAGTGGGTGTACTTGGAATAAGAGACGAGCTATACTCTGAGAAGAGAGGAAAAAAGAAATCGAATTTAAAACTCTTGCCCAGCTCCTTGTCGATCAAATGTTAATGGAATAATTATTCTGAATGACTCCACTAGAAAACAGCAACAGCAGCAGCATCGAGTTTACACTTCCATCACTTCTGAAGAGAGCAGGCCCATTCTCACTGCCTATTCTCAGTTCTACAAGGGAGCCAAGCACTCTAGTTCAGGTCCTTTGGATATTCAGACATACAGAATGTTTACTCTCCACATAAACTTTCAAGAAAACCAAGTGAAAATAGCAATCAGCCCTGGCTGTGCCATTGAGTGAAGTTTGCAAGTCAACAACGATGAACCACCTGCTCCGCACTTGAAGACACTGGAGTAAACAAAGGACTTTACCACCTGTGACATCATGGAGGAGCCCTCGTCCACTACTGCAGGTACCCACACACTCAGCACATGCCTAGCACATTATACACTTCGTTGAAAAGTGAGTCATTGGGATGACATGGTTTGGGCTAACCGTACTGAGGATAATTGCTCTGGTTCTTATAGCCTGGCATGGTAGTACTCACCTGCACCTCAATATACAGGAGCCTGGAAGATCCTGAATTAGAGGCTAGCCTGGTCTACATGATAAATTCTAGGGCTACATGGTGAGACCTGGCCAAAGCAAGCAAACAAACAAAAAGGTGTGGTGGTCCTGCACTCTGATCTAATCTAGCTGTCTCCTGCCACCAGCACCAGGCACAGATCTAGTTGTTTGCCATTATTTACCTCTAGGGTCTGCCCCCTCAGTCTTGAATTTTCACCCTGACTTCACAATCATATTTCCATCCGCCTGCTATAGTTATCCTCAAATCAGTCTGTTCTCATCAAACAGTACTTTCACTTTTCTAATAGTGATACGGCTGACTTTCCAAATCAAAGTCATCCTTCGCAATGCCAAGTCTCTCTTCTCTTTTCCAATTCTCCTGCCAGTAGTCCTAAGGTAGGCTCCTAGGCGCTCTTGAGTCCCATTATGAAATCTAGCTTTCTCCTGCCACTGGCTTTACCGTCTTCACCATCCACAAGACAGAGATGCTACTGAGGGCCCTGATTCCTGCAGCCTTACTTCTTCTTATCACTCCCATCCCCTCACTTCAATTCCCAATGAGAGACTACTGCTCTGTGGGTGCCATTCCACATCCTGACTCCTCCCTTCGCTCCGTCTTCCTTCTTGGCCATTCTATCCCTTACGCAACCCTCTTCTTCTCTGATTGACTTTTCCATCCAACATGACTCAGCTTACCAACCTCCTTCCAGGATGCTTCCCACTGGAGTCTTCCTTGGTACAGAATATCATTAGGATCAACAGTGTGTGATGTCAGACTACTTCACAGAAGCCCCTACTCACTGTTGTCTGTGGCAAAAGACAAATATCCTTTATGTGGCTTAGCTATGACCGAGGAGCTTTTAAAACTTAAAAACATCATGTATGGTAGAACAGGTATGTACATGCCACAGCACCCATGTGGAGGTCAGAAGTCAATCTCAAGCATCAATCTCAGCTTCTACCTAAAGACAACATCTCTGGTTCCTTGCTGTAGATGCCAGGCTGGTTGGTCACTCGGCTTCTTAAGGTCTTCGTTTTGTCTCTCACACACTACTACTGCAGCTAGCTTTACTTGAGTCTTCTAGAGATTCAAACTCAGGTCCTTACAATTGTGCTTTCCCTAATAAGACATCACCTCACACCTGAAATTTATTTTTTATGAGACTGGGCCTGGTGGTACGGATCTGTAACCTCAGGTACTAGTGAGACAGAAGCTGGAAGATCTCAAGTTCAAGGCCTGCCTAAGCAACTTAGTGAGGCCTGTCAAAATAAAAAGTGAAAAGGGCTGGGGATAAAGCTTGGTACTGTAGGGCTTGCCCAGCATGCATGAGACCCCAGGCGTATTACATGTAGCTTGCCCAGGCTAGTAATGACAGAGTCAAGATTCTCAACCCAGCATTCTCGATACCACCGGCATTCACCTCTACACTTCTAGCAATGAAAAGTTAGCATAGGACTGATGCCTGGAAGATGTGGTGTGCTATGCTGATTACATCCCTTCACTATGTGTGCAGAACATTTGAAAGCAGCTCCATTTTGAGAGAAGTGCCCCCTCCATCATCTCTGTGTCCTCGGCTCTGGTTCCCACAATGTGTTGTTATCTAAGGGAGACACTAAACACTGACCAATCTGAACTCCTTGGTCAAGTTCTCATTTCCTCTTGCACTCGGTGCTGTTATCATTAGACAGCTAAGCTCTGCTGCACGGCTAAAGAAACTAGGTGACCTGCCCATGCACGTCATGGACTAAAGGAGTTCTCTAGTGTTGGTTCCTTGTCATTGTGTCTATCTTCAGGGATCCACAACATTAGCAGGAATCTTAAAGTTGTTTCTTCAACCCATCTTAAAAGTTTTTGTTTTGTTTTTGTTTTTTGCTATAGTGCAAAAGTTCTAAAATACATACTGAGAAATTGAAAAATGAAAATTAGGAATTAAATTGGATAGGGTGGTACATGTTATAACTTCACCATGTGGGTAGGTTTGAGGCCAGCCTGCACTAAATGAATTCAAGGCTGGCCTACATGATACAGTAAGAATCTACCTCAAAAGAAATTACACACACACACACACACACACACACACACACACACACACACACACACCCCTCTCACTCCCCATCTCCTCTAAATAGCCAGTATCTATATCATCAAAAGACAAAATCGAGGTGCACTGGCTGCCCACTTCATCCCATGGGAAGAAGAGCTGGGGTGGAGGTGGCAGTGAAGGCAGGTGGTACCCTGAGTAATCAGGAAACTAGTGACAGACGGGCAACCTTTCCAGCTGTTCCAGCTGCAGTGAGGGCCTATGGATGATATGCCTCCATCATTGCCCATAACTCAGACTACTCTCTCCTCCAGAAAATCATCAGGGACAGGTAGGGATGAAGTGTTCTGAGCTGTCACATGATAGGAATCTGGGAATCCCCATGTGCACCAGTCAGGACTCTCACCATCAGCTCAGTCACTCAGTTTTCAGTTTAACCAGTCCTCAAAATTCCCCATGGTGCCAAATATACCATCATAACAGCACTGCCAGGTAGAATTCTCATCCTACCCAGGAGACAGACAAGCCAGCTGTGACCTGATCATGTATTACAACAAGCATGAGTCTGTTCAGAGGCAGAGACAGTTTCTTCAACAAAGATAGGAGTCATGATCACAAGGGTCACGACAATGGAAACCACACAGAAACTAGTAAAGACAGAGAGTGTTGTCACCTCAGTGTGTCAAAAAACAGCAACATCCATTTAAATGGCCATTTCAGGCCCTGTGACTAAATTGGTCTGAATTATTTTTGAGAATCTATAGAAGAACAGCTTTCCAAGTTGCCACATTTCTTTATACAAATTTTCAAACCTACATCTAGTTTCACACAGAAATGAGAATTGTGGTTCTAGTTTAATTACACTGATAACTTCTCAATGTCAAGATCCATCCGTCCATCTGTCCATCCATCTATCTGTTATAACAATCTTGTACTGAACCTAGATCTCAGCAATTCAGCTAGACTGGCTAGCCAGCAAGCACAAAGGAGTCTCCTCCTTCCTCCCAAGTCGGGATTACAGGTATAAGCTATATGCTCAGCTTTCTCCATGGATGCTGGGTACAGAACTCAGGTCTCCTGGCTTGTACGGCAAACACTGTACATACTGATTCACTGTCCCAGCCTCATCTGTGGCTATATGAAGAGGAAAGATTTACATAATAGACAGTGCCACAATTCTTAACAATTTCAGGCAGCTTGGGATGGGTGAATTGTATAGATTAGCTGTATTATGAGATGAGTGTTTTAAATATGTTATCCATTATACGGAAAGAAATCTCTTGCCAATGTATCATTTTGGAGAGCTTGAGAGAAAACTTTCAAGTTGAAATGGTTAATCATGTTCTGGTAATCAGGCAGGAGGATCTCTGTGAGTTCGAGGCCGGTTTAGTGTACAATTCGAGTTCCAGGACAGCTGTTAAACAGAGAAAGCCTGTCTCCAAACAAAAACAAACAAACAAACACGTATCTTAAAATTGCTCAAAAACTGAATAAAATAACATATGTAGGCTAGAAAAAAAAAAAAAAAACCTAGATGGACCTGACAAACAAGTACTCAAGTAGTAACAACACTGTTGATAACACTGCATCAATTTCAGAATGTAATAAAAGCAGCCAATTAACTCTTGACATGTGTTTTAGAAGAGGATGCTCCACCTTGCATTTACCCACACAAATCTTACAGCTGTCCCAAGTGAGCTGGGGAAAAGAGGAGTTGAAGAAAGCTGCAGTCTTGCATATTAGAGTGCTCTGAGGGAATTCATCTTCTGTAACAACTAATTCCAGTTCTGAAAAAACACCTGGTAAGAAAACAAATGGAAAACTAGACAATGTTACCTAAAATGTTACTTAAGGAGGTTGAGTTTAGAGCATCTGCTGCTTCTGCAAAGGACTCAGGTTCAATTCCTAGCACCCATACTGGGAAGCTCATAATTGCCTATAACTCCAGTTCCAGGGTACCTGACATCTCTTCTGGCCTCTGCAGGCACAGGTACACAAGTGATGCATATACATAGATAGATGTATGCATTTATACACATACACAAATTAAAAATCTTTAAAAAGTGACAATTTAAACTAAACAGAAACTATTTTAAACAAAGTTACTTTTCAAGAACTATAAATCTAAGGTAACTACATTTTCCTATACTTTGCATTATTTGATGAATAAAAGACAGGTAAAATATGGAAAGTACTTATTTAAAACAGGACATGTAAAAGGTATTTATAGGAGCAGGCTTTCTCATCTTCTATAACAAAAGACTTATTATATAATCAGTCTTTTTAGTGACACAACACTGTAAAGACCTTTCAAGCCCCTTAGTAACTAAATGACTTTAGTATCAATTCTATAGAAGTCAATAATTAATAAATTCAAATTTTAAAATATTTTTAAATACATATCACTTTGCTACAAGTAAAGAAAAAAAAAACAACAGTACAACTACAAAAACTGTAATGATAGGGACTTTATTTTGTTCTTTATTGTATTCCCAGAACCTAAAACATATAGCATATGTTCCTGACATATCAAAGATACTCAAGAAATACTTGTTGAGTTAATAGTATGAGAAGCTAATATTCCTTATATGCTAATACTTAAACCTACTCCATTTTCAGAGGCCAGTCACTTGCTTTCTGCTTAGACATTGTTTGACTAGACACCATCTGAAACCCTTGGGCTTTTTCTTCCCCAGCCCATTAACTAGAAACACTGATGCTTGCCTTTCAACTGGCATGAATTTTGTGGGGTTCAGCTACGATGATAGAAAAGAAAAAATTCTGTGAACCACAAGAAGCACGTTTCTGCCTGTGTTAAGTTCTTTGTGCAGTGAGGATATAAATATGTTCAGAGTAAATTAAAACGAAATCACTTTAAACTGGTTGAGTTATGGAAGATTGCAAAACCCTTTACATTTTCTTTAAA